TCAGTGCTGAGTGTTTAGTGTGAACACCACAGTAGGGCTGACTTCATAATCAGTGCTAATTGCTCAAATTCTTTTTCCTTCCTCTAACAGAACAATCAGATTCATGACCATGGGGGATATGAAGACCCCCGACTTCGATGACCTCTTGGCAGCATTTGACATACCAGATATGGTTGATCCTAAAGCAGCGATTGAGTCCGGACACGATGACCACGAAAGCCACGTTAAGCAGAACGCTCACGTGGATGACGACTCTCACACTCCATCATCCTCCGATGTCGGCGTCAGTGTGATTGTGAAGAACGTTCGCAACATTGACTCCTCCGAGGGAGTGGAGAAAGATGGCCACAATCCCACAGGCAACGGTTTGCATAACGGGTTTCTCTCAGCATCCTCTCTTGACAGCTATGGTAAGGATGGAGCCAAGTCCTTAAAAGGAGACGCAGCTGCCTCAGAGGTGACTCTTAAGGACCCAGCATTCAGCCAGTTCAGCCCCATCTCCAGCGCTGAGGAGTTTGAGGATGATGAGAAAATAGAGGTGGACGACCCTCCTGACAAGGAGGAGGCGCGGGCCGGTTTCAGATCAAATGTGCTGACGGGCTCAGCTCCCCAGCAGGACTTCGACAAACTGAAGGCACTTGGAGGGGAAAACACCAGCAAGACTGGAGTATCTGCATCAGGCCACATGGATAAAAACAAAGTCAAGAGAGAAGCAGAAGGCAATTCAATAACCCTGAGTGTTTATGAGTCATTTAAGGTCAGAAAAGCAGAGGATAAGTTGAAGGAGAACTCTGAGAAGATGCTTGAGAACAGGGTCCTCGATGGGAAGCCGAGCTCCGAGAAGAATGACTCCAGCATGGCTGCCGCCACATCCTCCAAGACAAAGTCGTCCTCAAAGCTCTCGTCGTGCATAGCCGCCATCGCAGCTCTCAGTGCTAAGAAGGCTGCTTCTGACTCCTGCAAAGAGCCTGTGCCCAACTCGAGGGAAGCGTCTCCATTACCAAAAGAAGTGAATGACAGCCCCAAAGCTGCTGACAAGTCTCCTGAATCCCAGAATCTTATTGATGGCACCAAGAAGGCCTCCCTGAAGCCATCAGATAGTCCCAGGAGTGTATCCAGTGAGAACAGCAGCAAAGGATCCCCATCCTCTCCTGTGGGGTCTACCCCAGCAATCCCCAAAGTCCGCATCAAGACCATCAAGACATCTTCTGGAGAGATTAAGAGGACAGTGACTAGAGTACTGCCAGAAGTGGACCTGGACTCTGGGAAGAAGCCTTCGGAGCAGGCAGCGTCCGTGATGGCATCTGTGACGTCACTTCTGTCATCTTCAGCATCAGCCGCAGTCCTCTCCTCCCCACCCAGGGCACCTCTGCAGACAGCCATGGTTACCAGTGCAGTTTCCTCTGCAGAGCTGACCCCCAAACAGGTCACCATCAAGCCCGTGGCTACGGCTTTTCTACCCGTGTCTGCTGTCAAGACAGCAGGGTCTCAAGTCATCAATCTGAAGCTCGCTAACAACACAACGGTGAAAGCCACGGTCATATCCGCTGCCTCTGTTCAGAGCGCCAGCAGTGCCATCATCAAAGCTGCCAATGCCATCCAGCAGCAAACCGTTGTGGTGCCGGCATCCAGCCTGGCCAATGCCAAACTCGTGCCAAAGACTGTGCACCTTGCCAACCTTAACCTTCTGCCTCAGGGTGCCCAGGCCACCTCTGAACTCCGCCAAGTGCTCACCAAACCTCAGCAACAAATAAAGCAGGCAATAATCAATGCAGCGGCCTCGCAACCACCTAAGAAGGTGTCTCGCGTCCAGGTGGTGTCCTCCTTGCAGAGCTCTGTGGTGGAAGCTTTCAACAAGGTGCTGAGCAGCGTCAACCCAGTCCCTGTTTACATCCCGAACCTCAGTCCTCCCGCCAACGCAGGGATCACATTACCCATGCGAGGCTATAAGTGCTTGGAGTGTGGGGATGCCTTCGCCCTAGAAAAGAGCCTGAGCCAGCACTACGACAGGCGTAGTGTGCGCATCGAAGTAACATGCAACCACTGTACAAAGAACCTTGTTTTTTACAACAAATGCAGCCTGCTTTCTCATGCCCGAGGGCATAAGGAGAAAGGCGTGGTAATGCAGTGCTCCCACTTAATCCTAAAGCCAGTCCCAGCCGACCAGATGATAGTCTCTCCGTCCAGCAATACTGCGGCTTCCACTCTGCAGAGCTCTGTGGGAGCTGCCACACACACTGTCACAAAAGTCCAGCCTGGCATAGCTGGGGCAGTTATTTCAGCTCCTCCAAGTACACCCATCACCCCAGCCATGCCCCTAGAGGAAGACCCCTCCAAGCTCTGTAGACACAGTCTCAAGTGTTTGGAGTGTAATGAAGTCTTCCAGGATGAGACGGCCCTGGCTACACATTTCCAGCATGCTGCAGACACGTGTGGACAAGTAGAGTATCATTTACATTTCGGTGTTTCGGTGACGAGTCAGTCTATAGCCACAAGCGCTTCATCAGATGCCGTGTGCGTGTGTGTGTGCGTGTGTGTGTGTGTGTGTGTGTGTGTGTGTGAGTATGGGAAAGGGAAAAGATGGTTTTCATAGAGGAGATGCAGTGCTGAAGTACAAGGGCGATTCCTTAGCCAGATAGAGCGTGTGCTCTGGTTGTATTATGTTAGGTAATGGCTCAGGCATTGGAAATCTGAGACTTAGCAGTAAATTCAGTGTCTTCTCATCATATGAAGTGTTTAGCTTGGATTACATTGGCACAGTATCTGAGTCTTTTAGTTTTGGATTTTTGACAATTGCTGGTATTTATAGCAGTGAAATGACTTAAACATCCACTGACTACTACTTAAAAGCACTCTACTTAGAGACTGTGGTTCAAAAATGTGTTCAGTAATGGTCATGATGATTTTAACTACAAATTGCAAACCATCGGGCTCAGTAAACCTTTGTGACTTTTTTGAGGTGAAGTACAGGTTGCTGTTGGTGAAAGACATCTTATCATTTGCATCAATTCATTCTCTCTCTCAATCACTTTCTCCATGAAGCAACATTTGGTTAATACATAGCATGCATAGCAAGCATTCCTAACATGCTGAGTGAAATAATTCCCAACTAGAGAGAACATGGTGTGTGCATGTATACACATATATATATACACACACATATACATTGTGTTGGGTGAAAAAGCTTATGTGGCTCAAAAGGGAGGGTGCCTAGGATGGACCCCTGACTGAGGGTCTCAGCCTCTGACATGAAGACCCAGTGGTAGGCGAGCTTCTCTTTGTTCCCCCCAGTATTTTGTTGTTATCTTGGAGCTTTGTGCTGTGGTCAGAAACCTGACACTGTCTGTAGTTTTTCAAGGTCAGCTACTGACTTAAACCAATGGGTAGGATTTGAGTTTGGGGAATGAAAGATAGGATCTGTTCTGTTGTTTTGTTTGTTTGTTTTTTCCTTTTGTTTTCTGACTAGTTGAAGTGGAGTTTTGAGCACATTTTTGCAGGTTTGGATGTTTGATGTATTCAGGGAGAGGAGGAGTTACCATGCCAGCCATGGCTGTCAGAGCATGTTCTAGGGCAGGCTTCCGTTTCATCATGAAAAGCAAAGCCCCAAAGCCATTTCCTGAGTTGTTTGTGCTGTTGTGTCAGTGAACAGTGTGGGTGGTGGGATGGGCTCCTGCAGGGCCCAGGCTGCACTGCTGTGGTTGTGGACTCTGAGTTCGGCTGCCCTCAGCTGTGCCGTTTCTTTGGGACCTGGAAGGACATGAGTAGAGTAGTAGTACCCTGTGCTTCCCAGCTTTTGTTCTTAGGTAAAAATGCTCAGGATTGACACTTAGTAGGGTCAAGTGGTGAAGCTTTCCCTTGGGGGAGAGATGAGTGTCTCCTGTTACTTGGTCTGTTTGTTTGTTTGTTTGTTTGTTTAAAAAACCAACAGTATTTTGCTGGGACAAGTAAAACCTGATTATCTGGAATCCAAAGGAATGAATCATGGCAGATGTACATTGAGTAAAACATATATACACTCTTTCTTTACGTAGGCCCAAGTCACCCACTCAGATCCCTCAAGAGCTGTTTGTTCAGTAAGCTTGTGCCGGCTGTGGAGCCCACTCTTCAGGGCTGGTGTCCTAGCAGCGCCCTGGGTGACTTTCTCCTCCTGGCACTCATTTCCTTGTCTCTCATTGCAACCATGGTCCAAAAGGACCTCACGTACGGTCTCGGTTGTGCACAGATAGCTGGCTCACATGCTCCAGGAGAGACGCTTGCTTCTGCTCAGCAGCTTGGGCCTGTGCTAGCTTTTCACAGAAAGGCTCTTCTTCCTCCTGGCTCTCTTCTGAGCCAGTATGAGACTTTTCTGCAGCAAGAAAAGCAATATAACTTTAAAATGTAGCGGGAGCTTGAGTGGCCCTCCACTGACAGCTACCAAAGCAGCAGGATGCAGGGCTGCAGTATCTAAGAATGTATCATAGTTTTTATTCATTGTTGAGCTTGTCGACCATATGAATTTTAGTCAATGTCAGTTCAGGAAATTCCTACCTGTCAAAACAGTATCCTTTCTGAGAGTGATACTTAATGTTTTTCTTTTTTTCTTAGAAAATTTGGAGGTTGAATTAGGGTACCTGTAAATACCAAAGGCTTTGCTAAGCCTGATTCCTGTTTTCTGCTGTGTCCAAGGATTTAAAACCTACTTTTATTTTCCGTTTTCCCATTAACCTCCACCTTCTTGGTTACTCATTGGTGAGTTGAGAAGCAGGATTACTTCTCAGCTGTAGAAGCTTCCTTGCCCTCATGCCCGAGCATGCTCTCTGAAGTAGGTTCCAGTGCCAGGAAAGCCCATGCTTTCGGCTCTTGGCTTCCCCTAGCTGGGTCCCAGTGTCAGGTCTCCTGTCTGCATGTTAGTCTTAGAGTCAACCTCCATAGATTTCTGAAGTGACCCTACTGTCTCTGTTAGATTCTGAAGGTTTAAAAGTGTCCTTGGGGCCCCTAGAACAGCTGGCGCCTTACTTTGGGTGGTACCTCTCAGTTTGTTTTAGCTGGGCCTGGGCAGTATGGTAGCAGGATCCTATTTCTTATTTTGAGATAATTGTAAGTTCATGTAAGAAATATGAGATGTTCTATGCAAAACCCTTCATTTAGTATCCCCATGATGACAGTCCATAGAAACACAAAATACTATCACAGCCAAAACATTGAGAGAGCAGCATGGTCAGGTACACAATGATTTCACCCTGTGAGAATAGCTCCCATTGCCACCCTGTTGTGTCTTAACCCCTGGCAACTGCTACCTGTTTGCATTTCTGTACATTTGCCAATTTATGGATGTGAAGATAAGGAAAACGTTCAGTATGTAAGTGGATTGGATTTTTTCACTCAGTACAGTTCCCTGGAAACGCGTCTAATGCCCGGATCAGGACAGATGCTGACTTACAGTGGATGGCGTTATGCTCTCAGTAAACCCATCATTAGTTGACAGTATAAGAAAGTGCCTGGGTCTGGAGAGATGGCTCAGTGGTTAAGAGCACTGATTGCTCTTCCAGAGGTCCTGAGTTCAATTCCCAGCAACCACATGGTGGCTCACAGCCATCTGTAATGGGATCTGATGCCCACTTCTGGTGTATCTGAAGACATCTGCAGTGTACTCATATACATAAAGTCTTTAAAAAAAAAAAAGAAAGAAAAAAAAAAAAGAAAATGCCCAAGATTGGGGCTGGAGAGATGACTCAGCTGTGAAGAGCATTGGCTGCTCTCCCAGAGGACCTGGGTTCAATTCCCAGCATCCACATAGCAGCTCACAATTGTTTATAACTCTAGTTCCAGGAGATCTGACATCCTCACACCAACACACATAAAATTAAATTAAATAAATTATTAACAAAAAAAGAAAAGAAAATGCCCAATACAAGCACAAATACCCTAGCTTTGAAATACCGCACACTGAAATGTCACTTGTTCACCTTTGGGACTTGGTGGTTCTGTGGCTGACTGCCCAGCACGGAAGAAATGGCTGCCTGCACGTGAAGATTAGGATTGAGGATTTACTTTCCTACATCAGAATATTCTGAGCCAATCACAACTAGTTTAGGACCCTCTGTAGTTTGTTCTGTTTTATTGCTGTATAGTACTGCAACCATATGGTTTGTACCATAGTTCTGGGTTTTGTTTTATTACAAAAATGTTGGCTGGAGAGGCAGATTAGCAAAGAGCACTTGTTGCCCTTGGTAAGACCCTGGTTTGCTTCTCACCCACATGGCCTTCACAACTGTCTATAACTCTAGTTCCAGGGTGCCTGTTGCCCTCTTCTGATCTCTCTGGGTACTGCATGCATGCATTGCTCATACATACATGCAGGCAGAGCACATTCAAATTAAGTATTTTTAAGAAATGTGTGTGCTTATGTGCATCTGTACATGTGTTCATGAACGTGTGTGCTTGTGTGTGTCATCAAGGAGTTGATGTCTGGTGATTTCCTTTATTGCTCCCCACCTTACTGTTTTAAAATATTCTTAAACATTTATTTGTTTTATATGTAGGAATGCTTTGTGTACCCCATACATGTCTGGTGCCCTGCAGCTTCTAGGGATTGAACCTAGGTCCTCTGCAAGAATGAGTGCTTTTAACCTCTGGTCCATCTCTCCAGGCCCCTCTTCCTTGTATTTTGTTTTTGTTCATAGTTTTTAGTCAGGGTCTCCGTATGTACCCCGCCTGTCCTGGAATTTGCTATGTAGACCATCTTGAACTCACAGAGATGCACCTACCTCTGCCTTTTGAATGTGAGGGCTAAAAACATGTGTCACATGCCAGGTCTTTTGATTTGTGTTTTCACATTTGTGCCTGTGATCTGTTTTGAACTTTTGTAGGAGGCTGACTGGGCCACTCATTTTTTTAGCCAGTGTACCTTTCTCTAGCGTCACTCACTGAAAAGGCTGTCTTTCCTTGGGAATGGTGTGCACCTCTGTCATGTTGTCACTAGCATATTTGTGGGGTGTCTGCTGGTCTGTGTGTCTGTCCCTCTCTTTGTACACCGAGGCTTGAAGCTCATGAAACATACATAGTATCCTTAGCAGCGCACACGGTTCTTCCCAGGACTGCTTCTGCCATCCTCCTCACTCGTCTTCCATAAGGAGTAGGAATACCTACAAGGAAACCATGCCAGCCCCGTGATAGAAATTATGTTAAAGGTGTGAAGTACTTTGAAGGGACAGTTGGCATCTGTATGTGCTGAGTCTTAGTCCTCAGACATAGCCTGGCCCCACATACTCAGATCTCTAGTTGGCTTCTGTGTTTTTCCAGCATGTACGTTCTGTTCATGTTTTGATAGATTTTGGTTGCTTGATTGAATGATCAGTTAGTGAGTTGTTCATGTATATTGGGGATGAAACAGAGCTCAAGATATAATAGACTGAATCCCCACCTGAAATTTATTATTTTAAAGCAATTATAATTTTGCTG